AGTAGATTAATCACTTATAAAGCTAGTATGAAGGTTAATGACAAAAGTGATAAAAACAACTGCAACTTCAATAATTACTTAAGGTTTACACAAGAAAAAAGTTCTTGTTAAATGTAACATCAAAAATGTAGAGTTGTAGAATGCATTCAAACTTAAGTTGTTATCAATTTAAAATAGACCATTACAAATATAGATTTTTGTGTGTAAGCCTCATTCATGGTAACCATAAAGCAAAAACCTATAGTGTAAACACTAAAGATAACAAAAAAGGAATCTACATATAATACTAAGGAAAGTCATCACATTATAACGGAAGAGAGCAAGAAGAAAGGAACTACAAAACAATCAGAAAACAATTAACAAGATGGCAAAAAGTACATACCTATCAATAATCATTTTAATGTAAATAGACTAAATTCTCCAGTCAAAAGACATAGAGTGGCTGAATGGATTAAAAAACAGGATCCATCTAAACACTGCCTATAAGAGACTCACTTCAGATAGACACATACAGATAGAAAGCAAAGGAATGAAAAAAGGAATTTCCATGCAAATGGAATGGAAACCCAAAGAAAGCTGAGTTGGCTATACTTCTATCACACAAAATAGACTTCAAAACCAAGACCGTAATCAGAGACAAAGACAGCATTATATAATGATAAAGGGGTCAATCCAAAAAGAGGATATAACATTTGTAAATATTATATACCCAACAGAGGTTAGAGTATCTAAATATATAAAACAAATATTAACAGGCCTAATTGGGAGAAATTGACAATACATTAATAGTAATGGACTTCGATATGCCACTTATACCGGAAAGGAAATCAATAAGGAAACACTGGCCTTAAATGACACATTAGGCCAAACTGATTTAATAGATGTATACAGAACACTCCACCCAAAAGCAATAGAATATGCATTCTTCTCAAGTGCACACAGAACATATGTTAGGCCACAGAACAAATTTTAAATCATATCAAACACCTTCTCCAACTATAATGGTATGAAACGAGAAATCAATTACAAGAACAAAAGTGAAAAATTCACAGATGTGTGGAGATGAAACAGCATGCTTGAACAATCAATGGGTCAACAAATAAAAGAAGAAATCAAAAAAACTTTGAGACAAATGAAAAGGAAATACAACATATCAAAATATGGGATACAGCAAAAGCAGTTTTCTAAAGGGAATTTCATAGTACCAAATGCCTACCTCAATAAATGAAAACAATCTCAAAAAAACAACCTAACTTCATATATCAAGGAACCAGGACAAAAAGAACAAATGAAGCACTAAGATAGTAGACGGAAAAAAACATTAAATATCAGAGCAGAAATACATGAAACAGAGACTAAAAACACAATAAAAGAGATCAATGAAACTAAGAATTGGTTCTTTAAAAAGATAAATAAAATTGGATAACCATTAGCTAGACTTAAAAAAAAAATTAGGGCTCAAATAAAATCAGAAATAAAAGAGATGATATTACAACTGGTACCACAGAAATGTAAAAGATCATAAAAGAATTCTATGAATAATTATACACCAACAAATTGGACAACCTATGGGATGTATTTAAATTCCTAGAAACATACAATCTTTCAGGACCTAATCATGAAAAAATAGAAATTCTGAATGAACCAATTACTAGTAAGGACTGAATCAGTAATTTAAAAACCTGCCAACAAACAAAGTCCAGGACCAGATATCTTCACTGGTGAATAATACCAAACATTCAAAGAAAAATTAATACCAATCCTTCCCAAAAAAAGAAAAGGAAGGAATGCTTCTTAACTCATTTTACAAGGCTAGTATTACCCTAATACGAGACAAGGACACCAGAAGAGATGAAAATTACAGAACCAATACCATGATGAACATAAATGTAAAAATCCTCAACAAAATATTAACAAACTGATCTCAACAATACATTAAAAGGATTATACACCATGGTAAAGAAGGATTTATTCTAGGGATACGAGAATGGTTCATCATCCACAAACCAATCAATGTGATAACACTACATTAATAGATGGAAGACAGAAACCATACGATTATCTCAACAGATGCAGAAAAAGCATTTCACAAAATTCAACACTCACTTATAATAAAAACTTTTAACAAAGTGGGTAGAAAGGGAACACACCTCAACATTAATAAAGGCTGCTAATGACAAGCTCACAGCTAAAATCATATTCAATGGTAAAAAGCTGGTCAGGAACAAGAGAAGGATGCTGACTCTCCCACTTTTATTCAACATAATATTGGAAGTCCCAGCCAGAGCAAGAAAAAGAAATAAAAAATACCCAAATTAGAAATGAAGAAGTAAAACTGTCACTATTTGTAGATGACATATTACATATTTAAAAAAACCCTAAAGATTCTACCAAAAAACTGTTAGAAATAATAATTGATGTTACAGGATACGAAATTAATATACAAAAAAATATGTTGCATTTCTGTACACTAATAATGAACTATCAGAAAGAGAAATTGAGAAAACAATCTCATTTAAAATTGCATCACAAAGAATAAAACCTAGATGGTAAAAGACCTGTAGTCTGAAAAGTATAAGATATAGATGGTAAAAACTGAAGATGACACAAATGGAAGGAAATACTATGCTCATGAATTGGAAGAATCCACAAAAATTTTTAAAATGTCCATACTCCCCAAAACAATCTACACATTCAGTGTAATCACTGTCAAAATACCAATAGCATGTTTCACAGACCTAGAACAAATAATCCTAAAATTTGTATGAAATCACACAAAAAAACTCAAATAGCCAAAGCAACCTTAAGAAATCTTAAATCTTAAGAAAAAGCTAGAGGTACCATACTCCCCTTTTTCACTATTCTACAAAACTATGGTAAACAAAACAATATGGGAGTCATAAAAACAGACATATAAATCAATGGAAGATTATAGAGAGCCCAGAAATAAACCTACACATATATGTAAATTAATTTATGACAAAGGAGGCAAGAATATATACAATGGGGAAAGGACAGTCCCTTTAGGTAAATGGTGCTGGGAAAACTGGACAGCCATATACGAAATAATGAAACTAGACTAGTATCTTATAACATATACGAAAACTAAAGTAGATTAAAGACTTGAATGTAAGACCTGTAACAAGAAGAAGAAACCAGATGGTAAGCTACTTGCGATCCTGGCAATGATTTTTTGAAGCTGACATCAAAGGCAACAAAAGCAAAATTAAAGTTAGACACTACATCAAACTAAAAAGCTTCTACAAGGGGCCCCTGGGTTAAGTCAGTTAAGCATCTGACTTCGGCTCAGGTCACGGTCTTGCAATTTGTGAGTTCGAGCCCCACGTCAGGCTCTGTGCTGACAGTGTAGGTCTGCTCTGGATCCTCTGTCCCCTCTCTCTGCCCCTCCTCTCTGTTTGCTTGCTCTCTCAAAAATAAATAAAATAAACTTTTAAAATAAAATAAAAAGCTTCTACAATAATAGAAAACCACCAACAAAATGAAAAGGCAACCTGCTGAATGGGAGACAATATTTGCAAATCATATATGTGATAAAGGGTTAAGATCCAAAATATATAAAGAACTGATGCAACTCAATGGCAAAAACACAATCTGATTAAAAAATAGATTAAAATCTAAAAATAAAATTCAGGGAACCTAAAGAGACATTTTCCAAAGAAGACATACAAATGGTCAACAGGTGCATAAAAAGGTACTCAGCATCACCAATCACCAGGGAAATGCAAATCAAAACCACAATGAGCTGTCACCTCACACCTCTGAGAACTGACATTCTCAAAAACACAAAATAAGAGTTGCATAAGGGTACCCTTGTGCACTGTTGGTGGGAATCTGAATTGGTGCAGCCACTATGGGAAACAGAATGGAGTTTGTCAAAAAATTAAAAATACAACTACCATATGATCCAGTATTCCACTTCTAAGTATTTATCTGAAGAAAACAAAAATATAATATAAAATATTAATATAAAAAGATACATGCACCTCCCCATAGCCAAGATATGGAAACAAGTTAAGTGTCCACTGATAGATGAATGGATAAAGAAGATGTGGTATATATATTTATAGACATACATACACACCACACACATACATATACATACACACACACAATGGTATACCATCCAGCAGTTTTAAAAAAGAATAAAGCCTTGTCAGCTTGTCATTTGGACAATATGGATGGACCCTAAGGATATTATGCTAAGTGAAATAAGTCAGACAGAGAAAGACAAACATGTATGATTTCTTTTATATGTGGAATCTAAAAATCAAAACAAAACAAATAAACTCAAGCTCACTGATACAGAAAACAAATTAGTGGCTGTCAGAGGCAGGGGTCAGCGTTGGGAAAAATAGGAGAATGGGTTAAAAGGTAAATAAATCATGGGGATATAATTTACTACATGGTGACTAATAGTACAGTAATGAATATTTGAAAGTTGCTAAGTAAGTAGCTCTTAAAAGAGCTCATCACAAGAAAAAAATCTGTCGGTGACAGATGTTAACTAGACTTACTGTAATGATCATTTCATAGTGTATACAAATATCGAATCATTACATTACACACCAGAAACTAGTATATGTTATATGTCAATTATACCTCAATAAAAGAAAACAAAGAGGAGAGGTGCCTGGGTGGCTCAGTTGGCTAAACAGCCAGTGTCAGCTCAGGTCATGATCTTGGGGTTCATGAGTTCGAGCCCCATGTCAGGCTCTATGCTGACAGCTCGGAGCCTGGAGCCTGCTTTGCATTCTGTGTCTCGCTCTCTCTCTGTCCCTCCCCTGCTTGCACTCTGTCTCTTTCTCTCTCTTAAATAAACATTAAAAAAAATTTTTTTTTAAAAGGAGTAAAAAAGACACTATGTTCTTTCTCAACTTCTTAAAGGTTCATCTCAAAATGGCCTTCCAAATTCTGGTACAGTTGTACTACTGACAAAATATTTTCATGAACAGAGGACTCAAAATAACAGCACAGCGTACCTGTATCTTTCCTTGGAATAAGAGAATTATGATTCTCGAGGGGGTGACCAAGACGTTTCCAAGAAGCATTCTCTTTTTTCTTTAGGACAATTTCTATTTTTCCCACATTCTCAACAACCCGCACTGAAAAGATAAATTCCATTTGTATTCATTGAAACTAAATATAATACATTATTCTAAAATCAATCTTTCTCAAACAATACAAATGTCCTGATCTGATAGGAATAACAGGGATCATTAGTAAGACTTTGTATACATATCAAAATTGTTTATGCCTTATGTGATGTTAAATCCAGTTTAATTTACTTTATGATTCAAGTTAACTTCTTTCAAACTGATTTATCAAGGGCCAAACTAATATGTATTGACAGTTCTCATATAAGCTCAAATATAGACATGGCAAGTAATTAACACATAGCTAAAAACCAAAACAAAAAAGGAAGGGGCTGGCTGACATATAAATTAGTCATTGAATGGACTCATAAGAGCAAATTTAATTTATTTATACTCTTAACATTTCTCAATTGAGATTTGAGAGGTTCTTATGATTAAATTCAGTAGATCAATACTGAGCCTAGTAAACACAGAAAAAGCCTCATGAATCACTAAAAAGTGCATATGAATCTTAAATAATTAAAAACCCTTTACATTATCTTTTTATTTTTGACTTTTTAAGATAGTGCAGAATATATGGGTATAATAATGAGATATAGACTTTACATATTGATAAAATTTTATGAATTGAATATGCTTTTGAAGACCTAAAGTATATTTCATTTTGCCTTTAGAAACATTCTATTCTTTTTCACTGTAAACACATAATTCAATAGCAATTTAACAATAACTTTTTAAGATAGATTAGTCAAATACATTCATTTCAAAGAACATTCATTGATTTGAAGCTTAACAAATATGGAAACATGGTCCTTGACTTTATACAATTTACAGAGTTTACTATGTTATATGGAAAAAAAGAAGGCACAGAACCAGTATAGGGTACTCTGACAGTACTTTAAAACAAGAAAGGACTAATATTTAAAAAAGTATATATATTTACAGATATATGTGTACATATCTCTAATGAAGTATTCAGCCTTAAAAAAAAAAAAAAAAAAAGGAAATCCTTCCATTTGCAACAAAACGGATGAACCTGGAGGCATTATGTTAAATGAAATAAGCCAGACAGAGAAGACAAATGCTGCGTGGTATCACTTATATGTAGAGTCTTAAAAAAAAAAAAAAAGAAAGAAAGAAAAAAGAAAAGGTCATGTACTCCTATAAACAGAGAGTAGAATGGTGGTTGCCAGTGGCTAAGGGTAAGGTGTGGGGAGAAGATGACAAAAACATACAAACTTTCAGTTAAGATATGAATAAGGTCTGAAGATCTAATGTATAATTATGGTAACTACAGTTGATAATACTGTTCAATTCCAATTTGCTAAGACAGTGGAACTTAAGTGTTCTCACATACGCACAAACAGTAAATATGTGAGGTGATGGATGTGTTAACGCGATTTTTGGAATTCTCTTACAATGTATACATATATCAAATCATCATGCAATTAAATATATTAAAATTTTGTCATTTATACCTCAATAAAGCTAAAAGCAAAGGACAAAAACCCAAAAAACCACCATTCTATGAATCTTACGTTATTCTCAGCTTTGTAAAATCCACATTGCACTTTTATATGCAGAAAAATTCATAATTTAATAAGCTCTGTTAACATTACATATTTAAATATATACACCTAAGAAATATTTGTCTGGTCTAGTATATTTAACAGGCTGCATGTCAGGAGTGGGGTGGAGATAAGGAGGGAAGGAAGAATGGAAAGAAGACAGGAATTTTTTTCTAAGGAGAGAAAAAGGAAAGGGTAGAGAGATGAAAGGAATAAGGGGAAATTAAAGATGGAGAAAAAACCTGGGAGAATATATTTATAAACATTAACATATTTGTTTATAAAGAAAATGTCACATCTTTGTTTTGCAATATGAAAATATACATATGAAGAATAAGACAAATGCTGATTTTTCTCCTCCTTTCCCTCTCTCTCTCCCCTGTGTGCGTGTGTGTGTGTGTGTGTATGTGTGTGTGTGTATGTGTGCATGCATACATGTAATTATTTTTTGGTAGCTTACCAGAAAAATCTTCTTCAATTTCATGGCTTAATTCTAGGAAAGAAAAATATGTTAGTTAAAATCCAACTTCAATTCATACAGTCTATGAACACCATGTAAGATCATTTAAATGCTTCTTTTATGCACTGTTTCAAATCTCTCAAGGTAAGTAAAACATATTCTGAGAGCCAGGAGAAAGAAACTGCACAACCAAAATGTCAAAGTATTTACATACAAATACATTTTTTCAACTTCACAATTCCTCTCCCTATTGAAGAGCAAATACTCAATTGCCAACAAGTAGGTAACCCACACTAGTCCAAAGTATGGTCCCAGACTGCCGTCCCTACAGACCAAGACAGGAGGAGGGTGGGAAGGTGTGTAGCACCTGAAGCGTGTGTGCTCTCAGTGTGAGCACAAGCATGGGTGTGTATACGGGCCTGGCTTAGGTCTGGCTTAGTTCTTCCTTTCTTATTGTTCTCTGAGGTTGAATATTCATTCAGTTATTGAAAGAAAATTACTGAGTATGTATTACTTTCTAGGCTTTGTGGATACAACAGTTAATGAAAGAAAAACCACTGCCCTTATGGAAATTATGTTCCAGAAGGAGGAGATGGAAGAAATATTTTCACAGACATCTGCTTCAAACTTCACTGTGTTAACAAGGCTATCTGGAACTTACCATTCTGCATTAGTTCTTCCAATCCAATATCAGCATCCAAAAGTATTTTCTTGCAGTATTTTGGAGTCAAAAATATGAGTATTTTTGACTGTGGAATTTTTTTTTCTTTTGTATTGTGTGCTACAATATTGTTAGCTACAGTGTGAACAAAATTAGCCGTAAAGTATTTGAAACATAATAGATGGTGGCAAGGAGGTTTCACTTAAAGAAAAATCATGCAGTGCTAATGAGTAATGTATACTTTTCTAGATACTAGAGTGTTTGTTTAAAATTCTTCCCCAAGAGGCAATATACATTAGGTCTCATGCTAAGAAAAAATAGGACAGGTTATCTCTAGAAGAAAAGTTTAAGGTTCCAGTCTGATTAATCTACTGAATGGAGAAAATAGGAAAGAAAAAACATTTTTCTACCCTGATCAAATTCAGGACTGAAGGTATTTCATTAATACAGTAAAACAGTGAATACTGCGACCTCATCAAAATAAAACGCTTCTGCACAGCGAAGGAAACAATTGGCAGAACTAAAAGGCAACCGACAGAATGGGCGAAGATATTTGCAAGCGACATATCAGATAAAGGGGTAGTATCCAAAATCTAAAAAGAACTTATCAAACTCAACACCCAAAAAACAAATAATCCAGGGAAGATATGGGCAAAAGACATGAATAGACACTTCTCCAAAGAAGACATCCAGATGGCCAACTGACACATGAAAGATGCTCAGCATCACTCATCGTCAGGGAAATACAAATCAAAACCACAATGAGATACCACCTGACACCTGTCAGAATGGCTAACATAAACAACTCAGGCAACAACAGATGTTGGCGAGGATGCAGAGAAAGAGGATCTCTTTTGCATTGTTGGTGGGAATGTAAGCTGGTGCAGCCACTCTGGAAAACAGTATGGAGGTTCCTCAAAAAACTAAAAATAAAACTACCCTACAACCTGGCAATTGCACTACTAGGTATTTATCCAAGAGATACAGGTGTGCTGTTTCAAAGGGACACCCCCATGTTTATAGCAGCACTATGCACAATAGCCAAAGTATGGAGAGAGCACAAATGTCCATTGATGGATGAATGGATAAAGAAGATGTGGTATATAAATACAATGGAATATTACCCGGCAATCAAAAGTATGAAAACTTGCCATTTGCAACGACGTGGATGGAACTGGAGGGTATTATGCTAAGTGAAATTAGTCAGAGAAAGACAAATATCATATGACTTCACTCATATGAGGACTTTAAGAGACAAAACAGATGAACATAAGGGAAGGGAAACAATATAAAAACAGGGAGGGGGACAAAACAGAAGAGACTCATAAATATGGAGAACAAACAGAGGGTTACTGGAGGGGTTGTGGGAGGGGGGATGGGCTAAATGAGTAATGAGTAAGGGGCACTAAAGAATCTACTCCTGAAATCATTGTTGCACTATATGCTAATTTAGATGTAAATTAAAAAAAAAAAAAAACAAAACTAAAATTAAAAAAAGGAAAGAGGAAAAAAAAAATACAGTAAGGCAGCAAACAGAATCCCGAGTCACCCAAGGTCTGGAGAATCAGTCTCTGTTTTGCAAAAGTAAATGATGTTCTTCATATAAAAATGACTGCTTAAGAGGTGTCTGGGTGGCTCAGGTGGTTAAGCGTCCGACTTCAGCTCAGATCATGATCTCACACTCTGAGTTCGAGCCCTGCATTGGGCTCTGTGCTGACAGCTCAGAGTCTAGAGCCCACTTCAGATTCTGTGTCTCCCCCTCTCTCTGCCCCTCCCCTGCTCATGCTCTGTCTCTGTCTCAAAAATAAATAAAAACACTAAAAAAAATTTTTTTTAAAAGAATGACTGCTTAAAACATAATTTTCTTATTGTTGTTTGTTTCTTTTCTATCTTCTAACTAGAACAATATCGCCTTCATTGGAGCAGAAAAGGGTGAAATCCTAGAGTCATTATGGGTGAAATGTAGATTTAGAATCTGGCATCTTTGGGGTGCCTGGGTGGCTCAAACTGTTAAGTGTCTGACTTTGGCCCAGGTCATGATCTCATGGTTTGTAGGTCTGAGCCCCGCATCAGCCTCTGTGCTGACAGCTCAGAGCCCAAAGCCTGCTTTGGAATCTGTGATTCCCTCACTCTCTGCCCTTCCCTGCTCACACTTTGTCTCTCTCTGTCTCTCAAAAAATAAATAAATGTTTAAAAAAAATTTTTTTTTTAAACCTGGCATCTTTGGTTCCAGATTTTAGTTCTGGTTTCTTTCTTTTGATCTTTAATTTCTCAAATCAGACAGAGTGAATTGTAGGTTATGAAGGAACAGGTTATGAAGGAACAGGCAGCTGAGGGATACAATACAACTTTACAGTCCATGCTGTTTTGGTGCCGCCTTGCACTTTTCTCATGGTGGAGCTGGCAAAAAAAACAGGCCAATGAAATGAGCACTTAGTGATGGCTGTTCTAGGAGCATGGGACAGGTCTCCAGAGATTTGTTTGCAGATATCAAGTAAAAGACATTTAACAAAGCCAGGGCAACAAATATTTCATATCATTACTGACTTTGATTGCACTGAATTGTTTAAACTTGGGAAAGGTGAGGTCAGGCTGCCATTTGCCTGCACTGTTGTTAGTGTAAAGAAAAAAATAGAAAAAAGATAAATCAAAAATGACAAAACAAAATGACAACATCAGATAAAATATTTTTGCTACCTAGAGTGTAGACCAAGTTTATTGCAAGGGAAACTGGAGTTGTTTCCATTAATAAAGAATAAAGTACTTACCAACGTGTATAATATATGAATAATCCTTGATAAGTATTTCTGCTCTAAAGGAATCATCCTGATGATCAACTATTACTGAGTCTAGATTAATATCCTTAAACAGAAAGCAGAAAGAGAAAGATTAAAATGTAAAATTTGCCCCAAATTTCTATAACTACTATACTTTTAAGATGATCAGTGGATGTTCATATCTATCTATGAACGAACTATCTATCTATCTATCTATCTATCTATCTATCTATCTATCTATCTTTTGCTCCACACTGTCAGTCCAGAGCTCTAACTCACAAAACTGTGAGATCATGACCTGAGCTGAGATCAAGAGTTGGACACTTAACCAACTGAGCCACCCAGGCACCCCCATAAGGCATTTCTTTATAGAACCCACAAGGTGAATAAATATTACTCCTGTTTTTTCTCTCTCATACAACCTAGTTCTCCTTCAAAGCACATATTGCAATTTTAATTATATATTTGTTTCTGTTTAATATCTACCTCACCCACTCATCTCTAAGCTCTGAATGTATGAGACTGTCAAGAATATTGCTTGGTACCTAGTAAGTGCTCAGTAAATATTTATTGAATAAATACTCTGGAAAAAATTAGAATCAGACCAGAAATCAAGATATGTATCTTCATTTTAATCTTTTTACTACTGCATGATGCTGTGCAAATTACACAACCTCTTGACTTCAGCTTTCTAGACAGCTCTAATTTCTACATAGCCTTGGTACAAGTTATTGTGGCACCTATCATGTATACTGTATAATGCACGCATTATTCCACATAGAAATCTTCCCCCTTCCCTTAATCATTCATCCTCTGTGCCTCATTGACATTACCAATGGGAGCAGACCCCAACCTCCTTAGGCCATGCCCTCTTGGTTTTGGACTGTGTGATGAGGAGACAATAAAGAGGAGTGGAAGCGGTTCAGGCACTGCCTCTGATCCTCTTGGCTGTATCAAGCAGATTACCATCACTCCTGTTGTCACATCATGCCGTAACAGTCAGAGGAACTCACAGCTCATCTGTGGTTCTGCTACTGCAGAAGTAGCATGCATTCTCAGAAATCCCTAGCTGCCAGAACTTGTCTTTAAATTTACATGGTTCCTCCAGTGTGAGAACCTTGCCAGTTGCTGAAGGATGTGTTTGCAGATGTTGTAAGTTGTCTGTGTACTGATCTGATTTCTCAGATGCAAGCCCCATGAAAGCCAAGTATGTACATATCTAGCCCATCATTAGATCCCTGAATTCTAAAATAGTGCTGCAAATAAAGCAGAAATTCAATACGTACTTAGTAAATCAATTAACCCCTTAATTTTAGTTTCAAGAGGGTGTCTGAATCCCATTAGTGTTTTAAGCATACTAGACCAAGTATCATAGTCTCTACTGTCCTTCAAATTCCAATTTATGCACAAGAAATTAGTTCTTACAATGAAGTTAACTGGGATTCTCACTTTTGTTATCCATGCTTACACACACACACACACACACACACACACACACACACACACACACACAGATGCGTGTGTGTGTGTGGAAAAGTACATAAAATACTTTGTAGTCTAGCTTTTTTTAAGACGCTATAGCATGACTGTTAAGAGTATATACTCTGGAGCCAGGCTGCCTGGGTTCAAACTGCTAGATCTGCCACTTACTGTGTGACATTGGGTAAATTACATAATCTTTCTGTTTTCCCCATGTATAAAATAGGGATAACAAAAGGATCTACTCCATGGAGTTACCGTGAGTAAATAAGTTAATAATATAAAAAGAGTGCTTAGAAAATAGCTGGCATTTATTAAGACTTCACTTTTTTTCTGATTTTAAAGACATTGTTTACCTTCTGCTTAGTATATATTACAATAGTCACTGAAGAGTCTGTCTGGAACCAGTCATAGCTATAAAATATTAAAAGAATGAATAATTATATCAATAATTGTACAGTAACACATATTAAGTCATTAAATATGTGATTTTAAAAATATATGGCTTAAAAATATGCAATATGACAACATAAGTATATGATTTTAAATATGCAGCTTAAAATCTATAGTGAAAAATATATTTCTCTAGGTAAACTTTGTTCTAAATAATGGGGGTAGGTCTTACAATTAGGGGGTAATTATTCCAACTTGGATTGAAACAAACAATATCCTTGAAAAGATACTTTTTAGAAAGGTTACACATTATATTAAAATCTTTTATATAAGAGCAGTAACACAACATACTTTCTTAAGAAGCATGACAAAATCTACATGCTTATTACCTTCACTCCTCCCTATCACAAATATATTATTATCAAGATTAATAATTCATCAAGATCTTTTAATGGTTCAACAGTAAAAGTTAAGGTAAAACCAAGTCTTCCATTTTGTAATAGATGTTCATTAAACTGATACTGTTTTTGCACTTATTATAAACATAAGGACACCCTGGGGAAATCCTAGAGGAGATTTCCTTATGCCTGTAAGTTAAAACTGTATATGAAATACTTTAATAAATTTAACAAATATAGCAGGATGCTATTATATTATAGACTGGCAGTGGGGAGAAAGGAAGAGAAAAAAAATTACAAAGAATACATATAACCCTGAGGGCATTTGAAATGTTAACATTAACAAAAATATATAGAGATCACGTAATTTACTAAGACAGTTGCCATGCAATACATTTTGAAGGATTTCCATAAAAACCAGTAAAACAAACTAAATATATGAAAAACAATGTAGTTGAATAAATTATGGTATGGTCATATGATGGAAGGCAGACAAAAAAATGGCTTTTGCAGAATATGACATAGGACACAGGAATACTGCTCATAAAATACATTGTAATGCCAGCATTATCAAAATAGAATAATATGGAAATAGGTATTATATGAATCAAGCTGGGTGGAAAAGACCAAATATTAAGTATACATCCAGAGTTGATAGATTACAACTGATTTTATCACTTTCTTTTCTATTTCTCTAGATTTTCCAAGTTTTCCACCATGAATGTATATTTTATAATCAGAAAAAAATTTTCAAATAGTTTTTAAAGTCAAAAATATTTTTGAAATTTTTTAACTTAAAATTTTTTAAACACAAATATTTACACATAAGTGTTTAAAATGGATCAAACTTTAGTTATACTAAAAATTCACACATACAGAAAACAGCCCATTCTCCAACAATGCCTGATAAATGAACACTACAGTTCTTATGTCAAAGAACCATGATTAATACAGTAAGCATGAACTCAAACTCAGAGCTGTTTATTTTTTTTAATGTGTCTATTTTGGTGTAGAAGTAATTTAGCTTTTAAAAAGTACAACAAGAATCCATACCTTGGAGAACTACAACCTTCTTTGGCAAATGTATCTGCCACTTGGCTCTTGGGAAGCATGCCTTCACAAAGAAAAACAAAACAGCTACCGTTCATCTAGATAGCATTTATTTTTTTTCTTCTTTTTAGTAAAATTCTTATTAAAATAGTATAAAAGGACACAAATCATAGATGTACAAAAACTTACCTTGTAGCCAGCACCACCCCTCCCCCCAAGGGTAACCATTATTCTGACTTTTAGCATCCTTAGTTTTTGCCTGTATTTGACCTTTATAAAAACGGAATCATAAGATGTGTTCTCTTTTGGTCTGAGGCTTTTTTTGTTTGGCATTACGTCAAATAAGTATGATTGATAGTAAGCAATAAATCAAACCTTGAGGCTTCTGAACTATTACCCATGCTGTTGAATGCATCAGTAGTTTGTATTTATACTACATTGTACAAATATGAGAGTTTATACATTCTGTTGCTGGACATTTGGGTTGTTTGCAGACTTGGGCTATTATACATAAATAGCACTGTTATAAATATTCTTGTATATGTACCTGCACATTCTTAAAGAACATATATCCGCATTTTTGCAAGTATACAAGGTATGTGTAGATCTGGCTTTACTAGCTGCTGCTTAACAATTTCCCAAAGTGGTTGTACCAATTTATATTTAATACCAGAAATGTCTGAGGGTTCCAGTCACTGCACAATCTCACTGAAATCAATCCTGTCAGCATGTAGCAACACAGCATTTTAAAAGCCCACTAAAACTGTGATTTTTAGTTGAGAACTCAAAGATGTGGAAGAACTCTAGAGATTCTGTAAAGCATTCTGTATTTCCCTCCCACAACAGGACTGTGCTGTTGGTATCTGGAAGGATTGGTTTGGAAAAAAAAGAGGCCTGCTGCCAAAAGGCCTGTTGCAAATCACTGCAACAATTACATTTCTATTCCTCAAACTGTGCAGGAAAACAAATTTAATGTTTCGTCTCTGGTGAATCCTGGAGGTCTCACATCAAAAGTCACAGTTGGGGCGCCTAGGTGGCTCAGTTGGTTAAGCGTCCGACTTCGGCTCAGGTCATGATCTCACTCGTGGTTCGTGAGTTCGAGCCCTGTGTCAGGCTTTGTGCTGACAGCTCAAAGCCTGGAGCCTGTTTCAGATTCTGTGTCTCCTTCTCTCTCTGTCCCTCCCCTGATCATGCTGTCTCTCTCTCAAAAATAAAATAAACATTAAAAAAAAATTTTTTTTAAAAAGTCACAGTAATATGGGGCACCTGGGTGGCTCAGTCGGTTGACCAACTTCGGCTCAGGTCATGATCTCACAGTTTGTAGGTTCGAGCCCCATATCGGGCTCTGTGCTGACAGCTCGGAGCCTGGATCCCGCTTCAGATTCTGTGTCTCCCTCTCTCTCTGCCTTTCCCCTGCTTTCTCTCTCTCTCTCTCTCTCTCTCTCTCTCTCTCTCAAAAATAAATAAAGATTAAAAACTTTAAAAGAAAGTCACAGTAATATAAAATCAGAGAGGGGAGGCATATTTGAGACAAACTAGTGTAGAGGTTTCAAGATTCTTTCCAGCCATAGAAGCTTCTGTTTAAATCCAACTTAAGTGCAAGCACAAGATATCAAACAGCCATATTTTGGGGGATGAGGCTGATCATGAGACCTGAGTCTAGACCTTACTCACTCAGTTTCCATCTCTTCCTATGCAACTCTACAGAACATAATTAATATTCAGATAAACAAAAGAAGTCTCAAAGATGGGACATAACAAAGCCACAGTTATGAACTAACTAGGAGTGAATCCTAAAGAAGAATGCTCTACCAGAAAACTAAAAGTATAACAACAGGACTATAAAAATGAAAATGTAGGGGCTCCTGGGTGGCTTGGTCGGTTAAGCGTCCGACTTTGGCTCAGGTCATGATCTCGCGGTCCGTGAGTTCGAGCCCCGCATCAGGCTCTGTGCTGACAGCTCAGAGCCTGGAGCCTGTTTCAGATTCTGTGTCTCCCTCTCTCTCTGCCCCTCCCCTGTTCATGCTCTGTCTCTCTCTGTCTCAAAAATAAATAAACGTTAAAAAAAATTTAAAAAAAATGAAAATGTATTTTTATCTCAAATGACAAAAAATAAGAAAAGATAACCTTAATAAATTATTTGAAAAATCACTTAAAAGATATTTCACTATGAGGGGCGCCTGGGTGGCGCAGTCGGTTAAGCGTCCGACTTCAGCCAGGTCACGATCTCGCGGTCCATGGGTTCGAGCCCCGCGTTGGGCTCTGGGCTGATGGCTCAGAGCCTGGAGCCTGTTTCCGATTCTGTGTCTCCCTCTCTCTCTGCCCCTCCCCCATTCATGCTCTGTCTCTCTCTGTCCCAAAAATAAATAAAAAACGTTGAAAAAAAAATTTAAAAAAAAAAGATATTTCACTATGAGATTAATGTCATTTATCATACGGAGGCCTCTTAGATATATAAATAAAAAACAAATGCATCACGATCTAAGACTTTGCATAAGAAAAAGCTATCAACAGGATTCACAGATTGTTACTCAATTTTGATCTTATTAGGGTCTTATTAGGACCTGATTAGGACCAAGAAATCTGGATTTGAAGTCAGTATCAGCACTGTGATCTTACAAAAACCACCATTTCTGCTTCCTCAAATTCATACTTGTAAAGAAATTTGCCCTGCAATCTCATGAGACAGCAAAGGAGACAATTTCCAAACATTCTAAAAGACTATACAATGTCATACAAACATGTCTTTTTAGAACAGAATAATGTCATAGGCTGTGGAATGTGCTTTGATTTCAACATCTGCCAAGCAAAATAAAACACCTTATATATAATATCATTCTAGAAAAGTTGAAGGAATCTGTGGTGAATGAGGGGTGGAGTAAAATAATTAACTAAAGTTAGGTGGACTGAATGGATATTTTCTTTCCCCAAAGTGCTGCTTGATGACTGTTGTTAATTTGAAGGGATCAGGTCTCTAGTGGAATACCACAGTAATCTATCTCATTCAGGATTTAAAATAGTTATTTGAATAACGACATTGCTGGCAGACAGATCACATCTGCAAATACACAGACTTACCACATAGTCTTGAATGAACCAAAATGAGAAGCAGCTAATAAATATAAATATAAATATCACAATCTTATAGAATACAAGACCATGATAGGTAACTGTGCCAGACAGACACTTAGGGACATGTGTTAATATTCCATTCTTAAGGCCACCTTGAACCGAGGTATTAGTTAAATGCAGTGCATCCAGAGGAGGGCAACAGGGAACTAATGGTTCTGGAAGCCATATGTGGTGGGAATGGAAATGCCCAGTGAATCAGTAATAGTCTTTAAGCAATGGTTTTATACCTATTATCACAAAAGAGTCAATCATTATATGGAACCCAAGATAGGCCCTTCATTTAATAGAGTGCTATACTATCAGACAAAAAGCTTCAGGTGTTACATCAAAAACTGAAATAAGTCAGTCTACAATACAGACGACGGTATTCCTCAAGTTAAAAAAGGAAGGGTAACTAATCTGGCAATCTAGCTTATAGCTGAATTTCTATAACTTTCTTTTGCAAACATGGAGAAAAAAACCTATTTCTAAACATACCTTACTGAGAACAAACTGAGGGTTGATGCGGGGGGGTGGGAGGGAGGGGAGGGTGGGTGATGGGTATTGAGGAGGGCACCTTTTGGGATGAACACTGGGTGTTGTATGGAAACCAATTTGAAAATAAACTTCATATATTGAAAAAAATAAAAATAAAAATAAATAAAGAAAGAAAGAAAGAAAGAAAGAAAGAAAGAAAGAGGGGGAAAAAAAAACATACCTTAAACAAGTAGTTCAACCAATGTAGCCCCAGGCATTTCCTAAGAGTCAATACTGACCACTACACTGTATGTATGTATGTATGTATGTATGTATGTATGTATGTATTTATGTATTTATTGATTGATTGATTGATTGATTGATTGGAGGTGGGGAGGGGAGAATGTCAGTCATAATTCTCGGTCATACTGAATGGCTGAAGAGGCCAGAGCTGTTGAGCCTGGAAAGAGTAGTAATAGGCTATTCAGCATCTATATGCAAACACTGGCATTCAGCTCCATGCCTGGGGGATATGACTTGTTCTGTCTTGCTTCTGAGGGTGGAACTCCTCATCACTAACAAATATTCAATATTCAGCTGCAGGCAGATGATCGCCATGTTCAGGGATGTTCCAGGAGGGACTACTTACTCTAAGAGTAATGGCTGGAGTAAGGGATCTATAAAGTTCTGCCAAAGCCTCTAAGTTTAGGTAAGTAAAGACATCTTTTGTATAAAAAATATCCTCCCCCCCCAAAAAAAGAATCCAAATACTACCCCAAATAATTCTGTAAAACAATTCTGTATATGAATGTAATTCATAAGAATACGATCCATTTTTTATCATAAATTTATATGACTTACCATTTAAGACTTTCTTTTCTTCATGATAGTCTGTACAGTGATTTAGAAAAGAAAAGTCGTCAGATAATAATACTATAACATCAAAGAGAGTATCAGTTAATATTTGAAGATAACAGCCCCTTCCTTGAAGAGCTTTCTGTTCAGGTCTGAGGAGAAAAACAAGGCTAATAAATAGATGGTCGATGTTTCAAACAAAGAAGCTTCATTCTGAAAATTGCTGGGCCATTTCTTCTCCAGATGTTTGTCTCCCACTTCACTGAGCTTTTCTCTACTTCTCTGAATACTTTTTTCTAAAATCTTGTTAATTTCTTTAGAAAGCATATAAAAACCCAAGTTTTGTTTAGGTCATCATATTCCAAAGTAATCAAAATTATTCAGAATTTATTATATTACACATTATAAATAAAATGTTCACGCTAACAACCCAAAGAAAGACACCTTATACCTTTCTTATCTAATCTAATCTAGGTCAATACATAAAAAGATTATTGCTTACTCCAAATTTAAACGGCAAAATGATGAAAGTATAAGACTTTCACTTGTATGTACAACACAGTAATATTTAACAGTTATTTTCTTTCAGGATGGCAACCAACTCACAAATCTACATTGTATTTTGACCACCAAAGATGCTACACCATATGGTCAAAATAAAACCCTCAGCAAGTTAACAGAGTTAAAAAAAAAAAAAAGGAGGAGGAGGAGGAGGAGAAAAGAATGAAAAGCCAACAAAATATCCAAGCAGTAAACTGGCAGGTATCAATTGTTGAGGTGACCTTGTTTTATAGAAAACAAAAACTAAACCACTTAAATGAAGGCTTTCAAATCTTTTATGTTCTGATTTTCAATCAACCAGGGATACCACAATTACCTCTGCTTCACTCAACTATCATAAAATAATCATGATTAAGGAGGCCAGATGACTATTCTTTTTATTTTCTTTATTTTACCAAAATAATTTCAAAGCTGAAAGGGATCTTAACAACACGCAGCAAATTACCATCTGATCCCCTCATTTAAGACTGAAAGTCAGGGGTCAAGGACTTGAATGAAATCCACAGCTTTTTAGCAACAAAGCCAAGATTAGACTTCATAGCCTCTAAGACTCAGCATCATATTTCTTACTATGCCATTGCTAGTGTTAATACTTTCTGGAAAGACAAAAGACCTAAAAACCACTTGACTTATACCTCAAAATGAGCTCTGCTTATCAAGTGCCAAATAAAAATCTAGTCATTACAGTTTGCAAGGGATCACTGATGTCCTTGCTTGATCACTTATATCAGTGGGTTTCATCTGTCTTTCCTACTTAGTTGTAATTATTTGTTTTATCTTAGAACAACCAACAAACACACAGATAAAAGTAAATTAAATCTATTTTCGGTGTACCACATACTTGTCCGTTTGATGAATGTCATTTATCAAGTAAAACAATTTGTTTTTATCTAAGAGGATCACAGCTTTTGAAAAATTGCCCCACATAATTTGTTTCTAAGGAAAAATATGTTTATCTTATATGATTTACTTCCCGCCTGACATGAATTGATTGAACCTGTCAGAAGTTTCTGGATCCTACTACATAGGTCATTTTTTCTGAATCTTTTTTTTTTTTTTTTTAAATGCAGGAAGTACCAGTAGGAAGAGATTTTTCTACTTAAACGATCTAAATTACTTTTAAAACTCTACTTTTGCAACTCTTTCAAAACACTGACACATAGAAATAAAAGACTTTTTATTATTAAGCATATTTACATCTGAGTCCTTTTAGTCACATGAGACTGACAAGAAATCTGATGTTCTGTCTAGATCATTAATTCCATAGCCAAGAGAATTTGTATTTTCTCATAATGTTGGTTAAACTGCATTACTCTGATAAGAACCTCTGCTTTCTGGAGAGATCAGAGTAATTTTGAAAGCCAGCACTGCAGTTTACGGACTGCACTCTACTCTTCTGCGGTAAAAGGATAGGTAAGGATTTTCAATTGTTGCCCCAATCTAGTTTACCTCTGTTGGGTGAAGCCACAGGAGGACCCCCACGATAAAGAAAGAAAAAAATCTGTTTTACCAGTATACTCATTTTTTAAATAAATATTTGATCAGGGTGCCTGCATGGCCCAGTCGGTCAAGCATCCAACTCTTGACTTCGGCCTAGGTCATGATCTCACAGCTTTTGGGTCTGAGCCTCACCTCAAGTTCTGCACTGAGAGCATGGAGCCTACTTGGGATTCTCTCTCTACCCCCCTCTCTCTCTGCCCTTCCCCTATGCACACACTCTCTCTCAAAATAAATAAATATTAAAAAAATAAATATTTGTTGGCCATCATCTTAATAAACATATTGACATAATGTGAAAGCATTTTGATAAAAAGGAAAATACGAATATATATTGTTTGCTTATGCACCCATAAATTTGGAAGGATTCATAATGAAATTAGAATAACATGGTTACCTTTGTGTATACATGGGAGGGGAAACCAGTAGATGGGAGACCGAGGTATGAATCATGTGATATGCATTACTTACACATACTTGAATGCATTACACATACTTGAATCATGTGAATGCATTACTTATTCAAAAAAATTAAATAAACGGAATTAAAAATAAAATGTTGGTACATTCTCTTGAACACACACAATATGATAAATGCTTTAAAAGAGGTATGTAGCATACCTAGAAGCATAGAATGGGATATCTCTAGTTGGAAGGAATTTGAAAGGACTCCATTGAGGAGGTAATATTTTAGCTACGTTTTGACAATATCCAGGCATTTGTCACTGAGGCCCTGAAGAAAAGCATCCTAGGAAGACAAATGCTGAGTGTATATATTTGAGCATTTAACATGTAGCTACATACCTCATCTTCTTATTTCCAAAGGTCGGTATCACGTAACCACCAGATATGAGCTCAGTCTTATTACCAGAGATCTTATCACCAAGACCAAAATGCAGCATTCTATATTCCCTTAACTACTCAGGCTTGCCAGAAGATGGCTCCCTGGCTCTCTACAATATGTTTAATAATCATTTTTTCTCTAGAAATTCTTCCATATTTCTAAATGGAACTCCTCATAACATAAATGAGGCTTAAGTCTTATTTTCGTTTCAAGTTACACACTAATTTCTCAAATCTTATAAAATTTAATGATTTCAATATTTCTAAACTATCTTTACCTTTTACTTTCCTTTACTCATCTTTGTAATCATCTTCTGAATTACCTTTAAATTTTATACATCCCTTAAACTTCAAGGCTCAGAATTACCCCTCACCCTAGAAATAGTTTACTGGCAGAATTAAAATAAGTAATTAATAGTTGAAACACATACTCTGAAAAATTCCAGGGTTAAAGAGATTTTAAAGTACTAGAATGTGTACGTACTCCTGGTCAGTTTTCTTCCTACTACTCATTTAACTAGTCACAGAATAAACTGCATTTTTAGAAGTCCGTGGTTTCTCTGTAGGTAGGGTATACTTGGTATTTTTTATTCAATCCCCCAATTTATCAGTTATTTTCCATTCTTGTCATATCCTCTTAGGGTTAACCACTCCTTCCTTATTTGGCATCACCTGCACATGAATATACACATGTTCAAAAATCATCTTTCCCTGAAAACAAAACAAATACTAACCTAAACCAAACACTGGTCAGTAGCACCCACAAAGCATGACACACTTCCTATTCAGGTTTGCACCTGCCCTTGACCAGGGACTTCTCACCCCCGTTTTCAATGACCTCTCCCTTATATCTTTCTGGCAGGAATCACTCAGACAATGGACTGACAGCAGCAAAAGCAAATTAAGGCAGCCTGACTAACACAGCAAATTTACTCATCTGGTAAGGTCCATATCACCACAACACCTTGCTCTTTCTCTCCACTAGTTAAGCCTCGGCTGGCCTTGCTTTCCCCCTATCAGTTGGCACCTGAGCTTATATTTTGCCCACCCACTGAGCCCATTTTACCGAGGAAACTGAAGCTCCTCGATGAGAGAACTTTGACTCTACTTCGAACTTCCAGCCAGCAGCCAGCCCATTCAATAATTACTTGTCTATATACCAGCTTCACATACGTGTGCTGTGGATACTATCATTTTTAAGAACAGAAAACTAAAGTAGAGGGTCTCACTACTTCAGCACTAGTAACATTTTGGGCTGGACAATTCTTTGTTGTGGGAGTCTATCCTGTGCATGGTAGGCTATTCCGTGGCATCACTGCCCTCTCCTCTACCCACTAGAATGCCAGGAGCACCTAGTTTAGTTGTGCCAACCAAAATGTTTCCAGACAGTGGCCCCTTGAGTAGCAAAATCAACCCCTGTTGAAAATCACTGGCATAAATTTAAAAAAATTATGCAAATGTGGGTAACTTTATCGAGTGATTCTTTGCCTTACCAAAGGAAGCATTCATGAGTTCTATAAATGGCAAGAGTCTCCAAATGAATAACTACAGCCTTGAAATAAGGTACATATACATAAAAACCTCAGTATCTTCACTTTTATTTTTATTCACTTACTGGGGTTTTTTTCAAATTTTTATTTAAATTCGAGTGAGTTAACATATAGCATCTTCACTTTTAAAGTAAAGGTGTTAAAACAGCTCTAAACCCTCTTCCACCTTTAAGTATTCTACTGATATGGTTCCAAGTGCTTTACAGTCAGTAACTGCTTGAGAGAGTGGGTATGAAAACAAAAAACAAAGTATTAGAAACCACGATAAACTGATGAGAAATTAGGAAGAGACACTTTTGGGGTACCTGGATGGCTCAGTCAGTTAAGTGTCCACCTCTTGATTTCAGCTCGGTTCGTGATTTCACAGTTCGTGAGTTTGAGCCCCCGCTTTGGGCTCTGCACTGACAAGTGGGGGGCTTGCTTGGGATTCTCTCTCTCTCTCTCTCTGCGCCCCTCCCTTGCTCACTCTCTCTCGAGCTAAAAACTAAACGAACTTAAGACAAATTAAAAAAAAAAAAAAAACAGAGAGAGACATTTCTGACACTGGACTATGCCACTGGAAAATATGATTAGTATTTTTAAAAT